AAAAAAAAAAAAAAAAAAAATTGTTGTTTCTACCCTCAAGGGACTTACAGTCTACAGTTGGTGGGACAGACAGTAATCACATTCTAATCAAACAACCACACTACTGAAAGTACAATTACACATGGACACAAGCGCACTGAATGATCACCACTCAGGTTCACAAGGGATACAACAAAAGAAACTACTCTGGCCTGGGACTAGGGGTTGGGGATGTGGGCATTCAGGGAAGGGATCCCCGATGATGGGGAGCTGATGAGGCCCGAAAAAGAAATTATTACTGACAAAGGGAAGTAGGCAAAAGGGACCAAGCATTCACAGTATAGTGGAGGAGACCAACATTAATCAGATGATAACACCTCTTAATTGCCAATTTCTGATAGTGCAATGGAGAAAAGGCACAAGGAAGCAGGAGTTGGCCTTCATGGTTGAGGAAGGTCGGGGTGATTGGGGAACACAGAGAAGAGCATACACAAGTGCAGCTGGAGGAGACAGGAGGACATGCGCAGCCAGCAGCCAGCCTGAGTGGCGTCAGCTGTTCAACAGAAGGCTGCCAGGGTCAGTGTGTGTGTGGGGGAACCAAACCGCACAAGGCCTTGGTGCCATGTTAAAGAGTTTGGTGCTTGTCTCCAATGAAACAGGTTTAATCTTTGTTTTTGGTGCTAATGGCATCCAGTAGGTAGAGGCCAGAGATGTTCTAAACATCCTAAAATGCCCAGGATAGTCTCCCACAATACAGAATTTTCTGGCTCAAAATATCAATAGTGCCAAGGTTGAGAAACCCTGGTCTAGAAGGAGACCATCTCCCCCTGCATTGTTCCATAACAAGAGTACCCTACACACAAACCTAGGGACGGCCCCTTCCTATAAGGAGACAGGGATAACCTTTACCCATGCCTTCCCTTCCCATGGGTTCCCTGGGATGGTAGGGAAGAGAAAGACCCAGGGAATCCTTACATAGCACCAGTTTTTGGCAGTCCGGGGCTGGGATCAGAAATGCTCGCTGTTAAAGTCTGTCAACAAAATGTCAACCACACATATGTTAGAAAACCAGGAAATATCTGACTACTTCTTTCTAGGGCTATGCCCTCTTGTAATTCACACACAAGAAGGTAACTCGGTATCTTCAGGTAAAATGCTGCGACAACCCAGGATTATTCAACGTTTATTTATTTTTGGGACAGAGAGAGACAGAGCATGAATGGGGGAAGGGCAGAGAGAGAGGGAGACACAGAATCGGAAACAGGCTCCAGGCTCTGAGCCATCAGCCCAGAGCCTGACGCGGGGCTCGAACTCACGGACCGCGAGATCGTGACCTGGCTGAAGTCGGACGCTCAACCGACTGCGCCACCCAGGCACCCCTAACCCAGGATTATTTTAACTGCTCTTGAATTTCAGGCTTATTAACATTCTAGAAAGGAGACTAAATCTTTGCCCTATACAAAAAGTTACTGTTGATACTCTAGACAAGTTGAGGGCATGAATCTACTGCTCTGAGGTCATTTCTTTGGCATGAGGTCATTTTTTGAGCCAGCTTACTTAGAAGTAATGAGATCAGAAACTGTCCATCCCGGCGAGCCTGGTGCCTCCCATAGGGGTGCAGACAAACTTGAGAGGTGATGCTAGGAGCTGAAGGCAGGGCTGCACCTACAACAGCTACACTTTTAGCTGCTTCATTTACTTGACATAGATGACCCTACTTAAAAGAAGTCTGCTCACGTTTTTTACGTTTTTAAAATACTGCACTTGCCCTTTAGAAGGCTAAGGTAGTCCTCAATGTACTCATTAATTTTCCTTCTACTGTTTGCTTGGGATCACATCTGTGGAACTTGAACACTTTCCTCAGGCATTCATGGTGTTCCTGGTAATCAGTTTCTCAGGCTAGCCCACAAAGATCTACTTAACCCATGACATAGTTGACCCAGAAAAATGCAGTGAGTTTCAACTTTGAACTTGGGGTACTTCCTCCTTGATTTTTACATCAAGGAAATTCCTCTGAGTCTTAGCTGCCACTCAACCCTGTGAGAGGAGATTTCCTACCGACCAGCCCATTTGGAAGGTCTCAAAGAGCAGTCCTGGGCAGCCCCTGTTCTCACTCTACACCCTTCCCAGGCAATCTCCTCCACACTCGGGGGCTTTGCCAAGGGTTCTACGGAGCTGATGATTCCCAAATGTGTTTCTCCGGCTCAAACCTCTCATGGAGCACCATAGCTGTACATCCAACTGCAGGTTCATTTCATCCACTCAGGCCTCTCCCAGTCACACCAGATTCAGAACACTCAAACTGAGCTCCATTCTTCTCCTAAAGACATGGTCCTCTTCCAGAGTCCTTTGTCTCAGAGAAGGGCTCTGTTGTACAGGCCCCAAATCTTCCTTCTTCTCCTGCATCCAACACACAGCCAAGGGCTGTTGGTTGGACCTCCTACCTCTCTTCTCCATTTCTACCACTGTCAGCCTGGTCCAAGCCATCATTTCCCACATAAATACTGTGACAGCCTCGTATGTGGTCTCTCCACAACCCCTCTTTCTCCCTTTCAGTCCTTTCTCTGCAAAATTATCAGATAATCGTTAAAAAAAAAATACAAATCTGATTATACCACACTCCTGTTTTTACAAAACTCTCAGCTCCCCACTACTCTGTGACTAAAGCCCAAATTCCTATCCATCAGCTACGCTTGGCCTGCTCTTCTGCTTGGGCCTCCATGTGTCACGCTTCCTCTTCATACCACTCTCCACACATCCACCAAAGAGGACTTTTTTCCAGGTTCTAAAGTGTGCCGTCTCTTCTGGAGTCTAGGCTTAAGTACAGCTCTCTTTGCCCAGAATGCTCCTTCCTCTCTGCACCCCTTTATCGCTGGCCAGTTTCTACTCCTCTTTCAACTCCCAGCACATTGTTATCTCGTCGGGGTAGCTTCTCCTGGCCTCCTCTGTCAGACTCTCTCTTAGCTTCCTGTACTACTTCTCTGTATCACTTACACCACAAAGGACAAGTACATGCCTCAATTAGTTGTTTAATACATTCTGCCTTGATAGAAGGCAAATTCTGGAAGAGCAAGGCCCGAGAACAGTAGTCCACACAAAACAGAGCATCAAGGCTCTTTGGGCCCAAATCCTAGCTCTGCCACTTGCTGGCTTTGTGACCGTACAAGCTATTTAACTCCTGTGGGTTTCATTTTCCCTGTCTGTAAAAATAAGAGTAAGAATATTTCCTACTTCATAGGGTTATGATGAAATTATTTGTTCTTTCTTTTAAATTTGTACAGTGCTTATGAGAATGTCTAGTACATCTTAGGTGCCATGTATTTGTTAGATAAATATAAGTAATCAACTGATGCTTACTGCTAGATTAAAGATCTAGGGAAGCAAGGTCTTTCCTCCAAAAGAGCAAGTGTCTCAGGCTCGTCTAGAATTGTCAATCAGTGGTCATGGCCCACCTGACTCTTTAATGCTCACTGGTAACTGCGGGAATTTGATCCTTTTCTGATTTTTTTTTTAACTTTATTTATTTATTTTTGAGACAGAGACAAAGAGCATGAGAGAGAGAAGGGCAGAGAGAAAGAGAGAGAAAGAGAAGGAGGGAATCTGCACTGTCAGCACGGAACCGGATGTGGGGCTCAAACTCACAAACCGTGAGATTATGACCTGAGACGAAACCAAGGGTTGGACACTCAACCAACTAAGCCACCCAGGCACTCCGACCCTTTTTTAATGGCTAGATGACACTTGGAAAACACAAATCTAGTGAGAAATGCATTTATTTCTCATGAAGAAAGGATTCTCAGGTAAAAACAATAATCTAAACATGCCAGAACACCACCCTGAGTTTGTGCTATGGGACAATATGACTTTGTTCTTTAAAAAAAATTTTTTTTAATTTATTTTTGAGACAGAAAGAGACAGAGCATGAGCAGGGGAGGGGCAGAGAGAGGGGGAGGCATAGAATCCAAAGCAGGCTCCAGGCTAGGAGCTGTCCGCACAGAGCCCAACATGGGGCTCGAACACACAAAACATGAGATCATGACCTAAGCCGAAGTGGGACACTTAACTGACTGAGCCACCCAGACACCCCTGACTTTGTTCCTAAGGTAGGATGACATTCTCATCCTGAACTTCTCTATTAAACCCCAACCAGCTAGGAGAATGCTGGGACTCCACTGGGTGATCCAGTACAGCCAAGGACCTTGGGTGAAGGCTATTCTTCTCACTGTGGACTTCTCCAACAGACCTTGGAGCCCTAGAGTAAAAAGACAGGGTATAATGGATCCCTCTGAGGACTTCATGGAAACTATGGACCTTCCTCCAGAAAAAAAATGCTCATATACAATCTCTAAAATTTTGCACATAATTTCAAGAGTAGGTGAACTCCCTAAGCCATGAATGGAACTTGAGTTAAAAACCTTGGAATTACACAAATAAGCTGCTTATGGGCCAAAATAGCACATTTTCTGCTTGTTGTGAAGTAGGTAACATAACCAAAGGTCTCTTAGCTAAGAGGCACCATCCCCATGAACCCAAGAGTTCTGCCTGTTATGCCACTACCAGCTAGTGAGATCTCTCACCATGCAGAGAGAATGATGGTTTGGAAAATACAGAGGTGGTCATTCATTGTAGGCCTTAAGATCTACAAAAAATTCATCTGCATGTGTGTGGTGTCTACCTCTCCAAAGCTCAGGGACACGAAAGAGTCACCTAGGGAAAGCCAACTAGGCTGGTACAAGAAGTGAATTATGGCATATTTCTGGTTCAGTGGGATCATGGATATAATTCGCTCAGATTATTCTGCTAAGCAAGAATTAGAGAGGAAGTTGTTAGGTCTCTTTACCTGGTATGGAGTATATACTATAGACACAGCTTCCTCTTCTTTTAAAACACAAGGCCCTGGGCTGAGAGACTATCATCTGAAGTCAAGCGCCAGGCACGTACGTGCTCCTTGCTCAGTCCCATGGTCCCCTGCAGCTGCAGGAGACAGACACCCACCTTACCTGTCTGAGAGCTGCCCCGAAATGAAGGAGCCCACCAGCACACCCACGAAAAACAAGGAGACCGTGAGTGGGGCCTTCCAGTCGTCCTCACACACCAGGTTCCACTGTAAGGGAGCAAAGGGACATATCACTCACTTCTTTTGTTAAATGTTTTAAATTTAAGACTTCTTGTTAAATTAAATGAGAATATCCTGCATCCCTGCAGGTTCTGTTTACATTACTGCACCGGTGCATGACCTCATTCAGGCAGGCAAAAGCTCATGTGGGCAGCGAAGCAGAGAGGAGGTTGCCCCTCACAGGGAGAGTGGGCCCCTCCCATCCTGTTTTTCATGGCTTTCAGCTCCATTGTTTTGCTACCAATCTGAGGAGGGGGGGACAGGTAGGGAGCAAATACTGTGGCCTTTCATGGTCACTTCTAAGAATCTGTGGATGGGGCAGGGTACTCTTTCAGTGGGGTTGAGGCCATTAGGATGAATGGCACAGGAATGGGTCTAGAGTGGGACTCTGGGGCTCTAAGAGTCAAGGCATCCAGGAAAGGACTGAGGCCAGAGGGCCCGGAATGCATCATGTGGATCTGTTCTTGCAGCTGGACCCAGGTCCCCACTCTGGGCCAGTGAGCCCTGGGATCCTTAATGCTGTGCTAAAAACACTAGGCCAAATTACAGCCAAGAGCTCTGAGCTGGGAATCAAGAAACTGGGTTTAGCTTCTGCTCTACTGTTAAGTGGTTATCCAATGTCAGGTAAGATTTTCCTCCCTCATTGTGCCTTAATTTCCCCATGTGTAAAACAGGGATCGAGGTACCGAACAGGCTGCTCCACTTGAGTTTCCCAGCTCCCAGTGCATAGTTCCATCTATAGTTACCATGAAAAGAGATCTGCAGGCATGGGGAAGCAGCTGAACATTCATATGGTGGGTTGCCCCAGCCTAACAAGGAGCCAAAAAAAAGAGAGGAAAGGACAAAACAAAAAGCTTAGTGGTTCCCAGAAAAATGTTTCCCAGAACAGAGAAAGATGGTGCTCAGTAATCACCAAGAAGGCTGCCCTCCAGGAATGCAGACCCTTGCCTGTCTGGTGCCAGGCTGCTGGCCTGCCCTCCATGGAGCCTGCTGGCTCCCCAGTAACAAAGGGGTGGGGCGATGTGCAGCTTCCAAGAAAGCATTTCTTCCAGGCCAGTGACAGGGGGAAAAACAAGTCTGCTTCCCTGCCCCACTGGGCATGTGTGCACATAGCCTCCGGGCACCTCAGAGGGGTGTGAGGCAGTCGATGAAGAACCCCCACAGCTAACAATAAGGGTCGCTTGGCCACATAACTGGCTCTCCACTCTGGAATAAGCATGCACCTTGGATGGGCTGAGAATGGTGTGGTGATCCTCACTGCAAGGAAGAGGTAGCAATCTGAAACTCAAATCTAGAGAAGTTTAGGGGCACCTGAGTGGCTCAGTTGGTTAAGCATCTGACTTTGGCTCAGGTCATGATCTCATGGTTTGTGAGTCTGAGCCCCCCTTCTCTCTCTCTCTCTCTCTCTCTCTCTCTCTCTCTGTCCCTCATGGGATTCTCTCTCTCTGCCACTCGCTTACTTGTGCTCTCTCTCTCTCTCTCTCTCTCACACACACACACACACAAATCTAGAGGAAGTCCAGATTAGCAGGAGGCAAGAATAGAGGAGCACCAAGGTCCAAATACTCAGGCAGCCCTCCTACCCCCGCAGCCTCAGTGGTGCTAGCATCTAGATACCATCTCTCTTCTAGGAGGGTGAGTGCTCCCAGGGCAGTCCTCATAGAGACACGGCTGCTACAGTCAGGATGGGAGTGACCAGGGAGTGAGAGCTGGGGGACTCGGTAATGGGGTGCGAGCCTCTGGCTCTTAGGTGTTAGAGCTTCAGGGGCCAGATTACGACTACCACCGCAGCTCCTGACTATGATGGGCTCTATTCCCAGCCAGCACGCATTACTTTTGTAGCAAGGGAGATGCAAAACTGAAGAGTCAGTAGCTGCTTCTCAACAGGATTCGCATGAGGGGTGGGGACTGATACAGCTGAGCTAGACTGGAAATCCACAGGGGCTTCTATAGTGAGTTCTGGAGCAGTAGACCCCTCCCCCAACAATGTCAGGTCTCCTGATACAGGCTTATAGGGAATTCTGTGCTGACAAGGCACAGAACAGAAGGTAATTCTGTTACCTGAAACCAGGTCAGACTATCCCCTACAGGAGACAAGGTGTCTGTCATGCTCATCTTGGGATAGATTCCCAGGGCATCTCTCCAGTACCTGCAGCCTCAATCCCGCCACTTGGTCCAGGCTGTCCTTACTCTGGGCAAGTGTGTAACTCCTTGGAGTAACTGGGCCCTTTATCCACCACTGAAGATTCTTAACAATCCTCAGGACCTGGTTTTGGGCCTCCAAAAGCAAACCTGGGTTGACCCTTCCTACTGGCCACAGACAGCCTATGAGTAGGGTCAGGAAAGATAATAGGTCTCAAAAAATGAACACAAGGGCAGCCATGGACTAGATCCTACCCAGCCAACCCAACGTGTCAGCAACCAGGATTGCAGTGGGCTCCAGGATTTGGCTTGCATCCTCTTTAGCAGAGGTGGGCTGAGAAGCCCTTAGAGTCCAGGCTACGTATCAAGATTTGTGTTTGCAGAGGAATCTAGTGTTCCTATCCTGAGCTCGTGGCTCCCCAGCCGTGACTAAAGCAGCTATAGACTAGCTCATGGATGCTTCCTCTTGGTTCGTGGGATAGGCTGGTACTGGCTGATGATAGCAAGTCTCAGTGTTAGAACTAAATGTGTGTTTAAGATTCAGGTCATGAGTCTAGCATTGTGACCCCTCAGCTGGGTGAGCTGTGAAAACAGACAGCCTGAAAAAATCTAAGAGCCACTCTGGCAAGGGTCCAGACTTGCCATCCTTCCTGTTCAGAAATGTGCCTCTCTACTGGTGATGGTTTCATGGATCTCTCTCTCTCAAAGCTTTTCAAATCGTACACTTTACTTATGTGCCATTTATTTTCTGTTATTTACACCTCAACAAAGCTGTTAATGTTTTTTTGTTTTAATGTTTATTTATTTTTGACAGAGAGAGACAGGGCACGAGTGGGGGAGGGGCAGAGAGAGAGGGAGACACAGAATCCAAAGCAGGCTCCAGGCTCTGAGCTGTCAGCACAGAGCCAGATGCGGGGCTGGAACTCACAGCGAGATCATGACCGCGAGATCATGACCGCAAGATCATGACCTGAGCCAAAGTTGGACGCTCAACTGACTGAGCCACCCAGGCGCCCCAAAGCTGTCAATGTTTTTAAGAAGAGAGAGAACTGTGTCTCTTGTATGCAGTATATAATTATAGCTGCTTCTCAGTTATGGGAAATAGAGATGCGATGTAGATCCCTGGGACTAAATGTTCTAACCTGTGAGTTGGCTGGAAGGGAAAAAAGACAGGGTCTGTGCCCACAGGGCAGAAATTCTTCCTGTGATGTACCTGGCCTGACCGCATCAATGGTCAGACACGCTATGCTGGTAAGCACCACCTGTTACTGAATGCCATGTGTTCCTACACACATTTCATCCTGCCTCCTGCTGCAGTTAATGGCAGATCCTTGCCCCAAGGCTGTCTGGGCAAGGAGACAAAGAATTTGCTGCCATATCCTCTATAACGCCTGGCAGTGCTCTACAGAGGAGAGGCTATTTGGTACATAGTTGAGGGAGGGAATAGATAAATAAAAGGGCTGCTAACTTGCAACACCACAGTCTCTTTTGGGCTTGGACCTTAGGCTTGGCTGCTCAAGGCCCAGATGAACCCTGAGCTTCAATCTCTAGAATTTTTTTTTCTTTTTTTTCTTTCTTTTTTTTTCTATTTAACCCCCTCTCTGTGTCAGCTCTAAGAACTTTAAAACCCAGGGTGTCGGTTCTCAGCCAGCTAGAGCAGGGCTCAATCTGACCGCTCATGTCTAGATGGTTCTACTAAGACTGTGTGTACAGGGGCCTCAGGTACCCAACAAGTAACTTCTCTGGTTGCCATGAGCTCCAAAGGCAGGGCTGAGGGTCTGCTCACTCACACTCCCTTGAGTGAGACATGTCAGCAAAGACCTAACAGTGAGGCACAAGCTCCGGGTCTTTCCACACTGAGTCAGCCCAGCCCTGCCTCCCCGGTTGATGTGGTTTTTCCTTCAGGCAGGCTTGTAGATAGCAGTGAGGGCTGTCCTATCTTCCAAGACTTGGTACCTGAGATAAGACTGACAGAAAAGCCAGTCCAGAGGAAGAGACTTTCCAGGACAATAAGGAGTGAGTCAAAGTATTGCCATGGGCTGGGGCAGTAGGCTTCAGAGAAGCAGAGAATGGCCAGAAGCAAGGAAACACACATGACTCCCAGGTCTTAGCTGAAGACACCCTAACTGATGGGTGCCAGAAGAGCTAGAAGTTTCTCAAAGAATCTTTCTGGCTGCTAGCTGGGCTAGAGAAATACCAAAAAGCAGGTGGGCCAGGCAGCCTGAGAAATCACCCAGGTTTCAAAAGAGGGGTAGTCCTGAATCAAGAAGCACTCAGATATTGGAGCAACACTGCAAGGTGGGGTGGCTGATTCTCTAGTACTCCAGGAATGACTGAGGGGCAGGGAAGAGGCCAGTCTAGAAGCACAGGGACCACCAAACTATTCCCGAAACATTCCCTTTCATCGCATTCCTTTTCACCTCCTTTCCGCCAATCCCAACACTTTGTCGCAGATCCATTTAGGGGCAAGCCACAGTTTGTGGGCTGGGAGGTTACATTTTCTTTAAAATATTTTGGTCAAGGGGCGCCTGGGTGGCGCAGTCGGTTAAGCGTCCGACTTCAGCCAGGTCACGATCTCGCGTGTCCGTGAGTTCGAGCCCCGCGTCAGGCTCTGGGCTGATGGCTCGGAGCCTGGAGCCTGTTTCCGATTCTGTGTCTCCCTCTCTCTCTGCCCCTCCCCCGTTCATGCTCTGTCTCTCTCTGTCCCAAAAATAAATAAAAAAACATTGAAAAAAAATTAAAAAAAATAAAATAAAATAAAATATTTTGGTCAATGCTTTCTGACCACCTCCAAGTTTCCCTTCTATGAATTAAACTGTCCTTTCCTTCTTTAGCTCTCAAACTTTAGACAACATTTCTTAAGTTGTTCATTAATCCATTCACCAAAAATTTCCTTCAGTACCCTGTCTATATCCAGCCTCATGTCAGGGAGATGCAAAGAGGTAAATCTACCACAACGTTTAGTACTACATGTACATACTTGATAACTTCAACAAGGAAAAACAATTAAACAGGAGACCTATGGTTTTCATCTTCTGTTGAAAAACAAATAGGAATTCAATACCAATGTACTTATAAACACCTCTATGTATGATTTGGGGCTGAGGGCAGGCTTGAAACTTAATCAGACATGGAACTGGCTGCAGTGATCAGCAGGCCAGGTCCAGGTTGGAAGAAAATGGGTCTTAGAAAAATGGAGCCATCAGAATGTTAATGCAATAGCTTCCAGGGGTGACTATTCACCTAAGAGGAACAAACAACCTTGGGCTTAAGAGTCAGACATTCCAGAATCCCAAAACAAAGGGCTAAGTAATGTATTAACCTTGTCTCCTTGCAAAGGCTGAAAATGTGTATGTAGGTAAAAGGGCAGGCAGCTCTTATGAAACTGCCAAGACAGCTAAATAAATAGGCTAAATACAAAAAAGGAAAAGACTGACATTGGCAGCAATGTAGCTCAAGGACCCTTCCACTATAGCCGACCTTTGGGAGCTCATCAGTGCCACCACCAGTCTTAGCCCAAGACAGGATAGGGGCAGTGAAGCAAGAGCAAATGAGTAGGGTAAGCCAAGGGACTCTAGAAGTCAGGGTAAAATCCAAAGAGATGCCATGAGCTTCTCGTGAATTCACTGCTTCCCCTTTCATTGGGCAGCCAGAAGCAGAATTTGCAGGGACTCCTGTGTCATGAAGTATGGCTTCCCCTTGGTGGCCTCAGCAAGCAACCTGAGGGACAGCCTCTGCTTTCACAACTCACTGGCTTCCAAGGGTGTGACAGACTTGCTTGTGACGCTAGGAGCGAGGACTTGTAATGACTAGGACTTTTGATTCTCTGTCGACTCTTGGGTCACAAAGCACTGTCAGCTACCTCCATTCAGTGCCTCTCTTGTCAAGTATCAATACCTCAGGACAGTGGAATGATTATCACTAGCTGAGAGATCCCAGTGGGGCTCAGATCACACTCCTATTACATATACATGGCAGTAAGGAAGCACAGATGCTGGGGACATCAAACATCCAAACATACAGAGCACAAGCGTGCACATCCACGGACACAAAAGGCTCAAGGCAGTGATTAGACTCCCTTGAAGGGTGACAGCCTCCAGAAGCAACATAAAAGGGGCCTCCAGAACCCCTGTGGGCTTACAGGAGGGTTTGATGCCATATCAGGACCTGTGCACACTCCCTTTTAGAACTCTCCCTGTGAACCCTGCCCTCCTTCCAGGTTGTTTCCAGCTGTTCCAGGCTGGAGCTAAACATTCCAGATTCAGCGAGATGCCATTGTCAGGAAGCTTTCTCTCATCTGTGAATCCCTGATCCTGACACTTTGTGAACCTGGGCACCTAGGTGCCTATGGAGGACTCTTTTCACTGCTCTGCTAGTTCATTTCTGCTTGAGACCCCAGGGAGTACAGTGTCTGAATAAGATGCAAAGCACATCTACAAGCATCCGTTAACGTGATGCCATACATGTAGTACTAATGACTGCAGGGTCACTGGGGGAGACAAAGCTACCGAAAAAGAAAATCCAAGGGGTTGGGGAATAAGAAGCACCCCCCCCCATGCTTCCTATGAACTAAAGTTGTATGCTTTAAATCTGCCCAACGACATGGCCTTTGAATATTCTAAAGCATTCCAGGTGAACAAGTCAGCCTGAATCGATGTTCAGATGAATGGGTCCTATAATTCTGGTAACTAAACATAAGCAAAAGGTAAACAATCTCTGATAGGGTATGACTAGACTGACATTTTGGGTGAGGGTGGGTGAGGAAAGAGTAACTGGAGAAAGGAGCACCGTGACTATTTTATACACATGCTTCCCTTAGTTTTACAAGTTTTTTTTTTTTTAACATTTTTATTTATTTTTGCGACAGAGAGAGACAGAGCATGAATGGGGGAGGGGCAGAGAGAGAAGGAGACACAGAATCGGAAGCAGGCTCCAGGCTCTGAGCCATCAGCCCAGAGCCCGACGTGGGGCTCCAACTCACAGACCGTGAGATCGTGACCTGAGCTGAAGTCGGACGCTCAACCGACTGAGCCACCCAGGCGCCCCTACAAGTTCTTAAGAAAGGAGTGTTTCTCTCTGAACAGATGCCAAGAGGCTAGAGAAAAAGCGGTGACAGCCCCTTGGCCCAAGCTCTGAATTTGCTCAACACCCCCATCTCCATCTAGAAAAAGTCTTTGATTATTCACGGTCTTAGAGTATCTTAGGGACCACCGTGGCCTTCTTGGCACCCTCTTCAAGGTGGCCATTAACAGGCGGCTAATAGGACACTCGTGCTGGTAGGGGCATGGTCTGGTTGGAAGTCACTTCTCAAAGCGTTGCCTGGAGGATGCCCACTTTGAGGTGGATAGTGTATTGGGGGAGAGAGAGTGACAGCATCCAGTGCACACCTTGTGGGGTGCAGTGCGAAGGTCCTCCCCACGTCCTCGGCCCCGGGGCTAGTACGCACCTCAGTCACGATGGTGGACAGGTAGATGTCCTGGCTAAACTCCCAGCCATCCAGGCAGCTCTCCTGCTCCAGTTGCTCCAGATCCAAGTCGCGCCCCGGCTCCAGCCCCAGTGCCGAGAAGTTGGCGATCGCCGCCAGCCGGTAGCGCCGGCAGCTGTGAGGCACCTCGCGACCGTCCTGCAGCCGCAGCGGGATACTGTGGTTGCGCCACGCGCTGCTCAGGTTCGCGGTGTCGGGCACCCGGCAGCGGTGCTCCGGGGTCGGCGTCAAGAACACGACTGACATTCCATTGAAGCCGTTGGGGATGATGCTGGCGCTGAGCAGGAAGAAGATGAGGCGCTGGAAGGGCCCCCACTCGCCCAGGAAGGCGGTCACCTCGTCGTAGTCCCGCATGCCGCCTTCGGCGGCCAGCGGCGCGTTGCCCGGGGTCGAAGGACGCGGGGGCGCGCGGCAGCGCGCGGG